AAAATGAGCTATTTGACGAATCCTTAACTGGTTTTGGTAATTTTTTTTAAGTTTGTTTTAGAGAAAATGTGGCACAATAGAAGAAGCTGAATTTGATTTTTTAAATATTAAGTGAGATAAGACTCTGAATATTTTCCGTTAGCCTTTGCAATAGTTCCTGGAAAAAGTGGGTATCGTTAGTTAAAAGTATGATATGCCAATCGAGAGTGCTTACGAAGTCATGTATTAATGTATGGTTCACGTTAAAAAATGCAATAGTATTGCATTTTGCCTCGGGCTTTTGAGAAAGGGAGACTGGAAAACGACAGTGAATGAGTGCATGGTCACTTGTGAAAACATCACCACGGCAATTTATAAAAGGAGGGAGGACGTCATTCTAAAAAAATAAATTTACAATGTTGTCACTTCTAGTCACTGAACTGACCAGTTTTGACATGTTTTAAAAATAAATAGTATCGCCCAATTTCTGAAACTGTGAGGGGAAGATATTATGATGCAACTCAATGTCTGGCATGTTAAAATCAACTAGGATTATTTTGATATCGAAATGTGTCATTCAACTTCTTAAAACATTTCACTGTGTGAGTAAATGGGGAAGTATAGACACAACCAACTACGGTTTTTTAATTATGCGGGACGATGACTGAAATAAAGCAAACATATGCAGGAAATGACGAAATGCTCAGGTAAAACGGAAAATGTACAAAATATGATTTAGTATAAAGAAGGCAACCACCACCACGCTTTTCAATGCGGTCTTCTCGGTACACACTATAATTAACTTTAGCGAGCGTCGAGTCAGAAATTAGAGACTGAGCCCAAAATTGGGTGGCAGAGAGCACATCTGGATCAAGCTCAAATGCTACTGTTTTAAGTGTTGTCTTCTTAATAACAAATTATCTCGCACTGAGTGAGACCTTAGTGAGCTTACCCTGGTGGTGCAGGTTACGCTCGTATGTATCTATAAAAAAGGAAAACTTGGTGACGGAAAGGAAAACTGTAGGGGAAAAACAAAAGGTGGAAAGTGAATCGGCCCTGGTCTACAGTTTGTTGAGTAGTTATTGCTTAATTAACTATGACTATTGTAGAAAGGCACATTTGGTGGTGGGTCCATAGAAAGGACGGCTGGATTGTGGCATGGGAAATTGATTTTAGAATGAGCATTTGCGTGATTATTGCCCAGGTTTCCACCCTGTGCATCGAAATGTCTTATAGCAATTTCGATTCTGACCCTAAAGGTCATCTTTCGGGCGCCCACGTCCGAGTCATCAGCTTAATCATTTTCATAATTATTTATCCGATAATGATGTGGATGAGATATAATAGAAATCGTGTAGGGAACGCTGGGGGCCGCACTGAGAAGCCGCACCCTTCAATGCTGCCTCACGCAGCGGCAGAAACATGGACGAAAAATCAGTCTGGGCTTTTAC